TCAACTGGCCACAAGTGAAACGTTCCCGACGAACAAACTCGTAGGTGAATGTCGCTGTACCAGTTTGTCTGAAAATCATCAGCTGTTGAATACTTTATGCATTTTTTGGTGAGTAAAAATGTCTATGTATCGTCAGTAACGTCAGTGTTGAACCCTTGTAACTGAATCCCCAGCTGTCCTTCAGGAGCCGAGCCCGCCTCCAGAGTGACCTTCCTCAGCGGACACGCCCCGTCCACCTGTTCCACAGGTGCGCCCGGCAAGATGGCGGCGGGACGAGTTTCTGCGGCGTTTGGTGCGTTTGCGTTTTATTTCTAATTTTAAGTTTAAAAAATGCAAATATCACGTTGAGTAAAGATAGACAAAGTTTATGCATGTTGCTACATTTTAATTGTATGTATTTCGATTTAATTTGTGTTTAAGGACGCCGAAATTAGTGTTCTCTCCGTTTGGGCGTGCTGTGGACGTTTTAACATCTCCAATTAAGCGTATCTTTCATTGAAGTATTTTTAAATATATGGTACTTCTAGCTATGGAGTTATGTAAGGCTGCGGTTTACCACCAAACAAATTCCTTTATAAAGCCAATTGTTGTGTGATTATCTTCATTGCGGATATGGGCTATAACCCTTTCCACTCCGAGCTTCTAAAATATTAAGATGAAATTACGAATTCGTATATTTTTTATTTCTCCAGGTGACAAAAGGATTTAAAGCAGGGGCCTCCGGTTAAAAAAAGGGTTTTTCAACGGTACTGTAAGTTATATTCCTACCTTTCGCCATACTGTTTTTTTGTAACTCGATAAGACAACACTTGTTGCCGGCATTTGTAAAACAGAACGAGTTTATACAAATATTCGAACTTCTTTTTAGTTTCGTTGTGCTTTTGTTGAATAAAAATAAAAACTCTAAGGCGCTGGACCTTTATCTATTAATTGAGTAAAGATGGATAACACTAACAAATGTTAAGGATGCTTTTCAAAGCAGGGAGTTTTATCGAAAATGATACCCGCTGTAAGTGGTACTTTCTCTTAAATGTATTTGTAGCGTTGAATTTCTATGTGGCCGAACATATTTTCTAAATATTGGAATAGTGGGACTGTTTTGTTAGTGAATTTGAGCGGGATTGCGTATTTCTTCAGGCAGCTTATGTAAAAAGTTAGACTTCAAGCGCTTCGATTCTGCACATCCGGTATGTTGTTAACTTTTCTCTTTTGCCTTCAGTTCTGCGGCTCCTGCTCCTCTGCGCTCCGACGATCTCCTCTCCAGCTCCGCTCCAGCAACTCCTTGTGCGTTGGCAAGTTATTCTTGACAGTGTGTGCTTTTCCTTACATTTCATTTTGGACACCAGAGCTTGATCTGTAATATACTATCTCTCGTATAATTATTTTAATTCTGTATTTTTTATATGGTGTCTCTAGTGCTGTAGTTTAGCTTCAAACACTTTATAAAGTCAGTTTCTTTTGGATCTCTTTGCGGATTCGAGGTGTAATAAAGCTTTCCGCTCCGAAATTATACAATTGTGAAAATATTGAATTGACTGATTCGTGTTTTATTTTATTTCTCCAGGTGACAAAGGATTTCAAGAACGCGCCTGGAGTTATGAAAGTTGTTTCCCCCAGGGTAAGTAATGCTACCTTTCGCTATACCATTTCTATTTGTGTAACTCCGTAATACAACACCTGCTTCTCTGCATTTTAACACCAGACCGGGTTTATCCCAAGCTTCGTTTCGTTGTGCTTTTGTTGAATAGAGATAGGAAACTCTAAGTCGCAGATTCTTCGTCTATTGAATCCATTGGGTAAAGCCGGATAATACTGAAACTTTTAACGACGGTTTTCAAAGCAGGGAGTTAACTCGAATATGATACACGCTGTAAATGTATAAATAGAATTGCATTTCTATGCGGCTGAACGAATTTTCAAAATACTGGAGTAGTGGGGGCTGTTATTTATCTGTGATTTCTCATGAAATTACTCATTGGTTTCT